CAAGCTCAGAGAACCCCAAGGACTCCACAGTTCAACCCTGAGCTACACATATTCACCCCTATTGGTCCCAGGCCTCTGCTAGAGGACCCGAGATTGAGGAAGACACATACCACCCATAGGGGTGAGAAGGGAATTTTTCAAGTTAAAATTGGCATTGTTTGAGAATCAGTCCTCTTCCCCACTGTATATGCTTTCCAAATCATGATCTTCTATATTTTTCTACTTCTATTATCTGGTCATCACCCAATTTAATTTGCTATTACATTCTCCCTTGTGCCACCACCCATGTATCAAAACATGTTTGCTTTCATTTTCATGTCTTAAGCTTTTTCTAGTAGCTTGGATCATTTGATGATAGTTGGTGGGTTGCAATGGATTAAGAATTCTATAAACTGTCCAGAGTCTGTCTGGATTGAGGTGGTAGATACATTCCACAAATAAATATAAACCATTAACGGTTAAATATTTTCCATTTTATGACCATAATAAATTCTGTATTAACAGATCAGCAAGCAAGGTGGTCCAATTGAGATCCACAACCAGGAGCAAATCGTGACAGTTGGCATCACCTCTACAAACCCTGTCCTACTGATCCCTAATGTCCTGCTTCTGGCACGACCTATTGTCCCATCCGAAGAACATATTTCAAAATTCAGAGCCATATTCCATCATCAACCCCCAGTGAGATTTGAACTAACCAGGTAAGTCTTTACAGTGGCATCACAGTCATGTCCAGATGATATTGTTCCATACTGAAGTTATTCTAACATAGAGATAAGTAACCTCTGAACTGTCCATCAAGGTCTTATCATCTGGCCTGCTGAAGACCTCCTTGTCCCTGAAGATCTTCCTCAAACTCTACCTTTCATGACCAGATTGCTCAGTGCATGCAATGAGGGAGAGTTCTTTCCTTTTATACAAAAACAAAGAAAGTGATTTTGCTCTTAATAAATGTCTTAGAAGATAATACAGTCACAAACCAGTACAGAATACCCACTTTTAATACACAGTATGACTGGAAGAAGTGCACCAGTGCTTAATTTGAGTCAATAATCCCAATGGTTTAGTCCTGAATATATATTCAGCACTGAGTTGGATATCTATCATTGGGTTGGTATAATATCATTATGGGGTTGTAATATGTTATCACAATACAAATTTGGATTTAATGGAATGATAAAAGAGTAATTTCTCTTTATAGAAATTCAAAGCAATATGCTTTATGAACTGTAAATCTTGTAAAAGGTTGAAGGTAAGTTTCCATTTGTCTCATGTCTTAATGACTGCTCTAGCTGGAAGAATCTGGCTCTTTCTCTACTCTTCTGTAATTTCCAGTATTTTTGCCTGTATGATCAAATAATAGGAGAGTGTAGAATTAATTCTGAACTCTAATCCAGGCCCTTTTTAGCAACTGGAGAACCTTGAAACAAGGGAGATCCAAAGCAAAAATTTTATTAGGAACCCAAATGCAAGTTTCATAAGACAACTCCCTGGAATTTTACACTTACCCTTTTCAAAATATACCCTGTTCAAAATACAAATTGAATGGAGTAAGGAAGATGACCTTGATGGAGATAAACAGGATCTGTTGCCTAGGCAAAAGGGGCTGAAGCATTTTTAAAGTCTACAACTAGATAATATTCAGAAGTGATGTCTTCTTAATTTACTGAACTATAAGAAGGAGGGAGTTACAGAAGAATCAGCCTTGCAAGACTGATGTTAGCCCCACTAACTAATGTTAGACCAGATCATCCAACCAAATCAACCAGGGAGGCTAAAACTACGTTTATTGAGACTGGCTATAATAAGAGAATCTTGAAAGTCTGATTGTTCTGTAAATCCTTATCCTTCTTACACTTCAGTGAATTAGATAGGCACCTGCCTGATCTGCTTCTGTATGTTATCTTGTTGTGGACTTAAAAAATGTTTCAGCCCCTTTTGTCTAAGCAACAGATCCTGCATATATCCATCAAGACCATCTAGCTTACTCCCTATAATAGGCAAGCTTAAAAGGAGCAGCACAAGATAATGATACATATCAAGATCCATCTATTACAATACAAGATAAACCAGTTAACTGTGATTAATAATGAAACAGTAAATGCTTTCCTACATGTGATCCTTTCAAATACCATCCTGTAGTATAGAAATATACATTGCAGCTAAAAGTCTTCAGTGTTTCCAACCCATTTTATACCCACATAGGTTATTCCCTTTGCGCTTTGTCAAGATCTCAATCCACAACTCAGAAAAGAAGCAGCTGCGACTTAAACTAGTGAGTGGCCGCACCTACTATCTTCAGTTGTGCCCTCAATCAAACCGGCGAGAAGACCTTTTCGATGCCTGGGTCAGGATTGTGCAATTGCTACGGCCATCTTCAGAAATAAGTGTCAAGGAGCAGAATCAGAAGAACAAAAAACTGAAGAGCCATGGTGTACCTCTAGTTCCACCCCTGAAACTTAAAGTGAGCTCCCTGTCAGTGGTATTAATCCTGGGGTCCTGGGAATTGTCAGGGAGCATAACAAATAGAAAAGTATCTTTCATTTCCAGTATGAATGGCCCCTTTACTTACAGGTATACACTGAATTTCCAGAGAAGGCACCTCTGTTTCCAAGCAGATAAACCTAGTGCTATGGGAAACAGTTAATTTCTCCAAGAATATATCCTGATTCGAGCAATGATCTCAGGGCCAGCCACATTTGCCATCTACTCACTGCCACACAAGCCAACTGCACTTCATCTTTTTCTCCCCCATCAAGAACAATAACAAAATTTGAGGCAAGGCATTCACCTTAATATGCACGTTTACTTCTCATTCAGCAACATAATCTCTGCATGCAGGAGAATTAAGTAGCAGAATAAAGATAATACACTTTAAAGACCAGTTGTAAAAGAGCAATAGTGGAAGAGGGCTATTTCCCTTTTGTCTTGGTTATGAATTTTCTGAATGCATCATATCAAACATTATGTTCCACAGAATGCTGAACTAGATGGGTCTTTTACCTGATCCAGTAGGACCCTTCCTATGCTCTTAAGTGACAGGAGTACTATAGGTGAGAGATATACCCTTCTTAGGAACAAGGGGCTGTGCTGAGCTAGGTTTTCTGTCTAGGGCAAAGAACAATACAGGTAGTCCTTGTTTAGCAACTGCCTTATTTAGCAACCATTCACAGTTACAACGGTGATTAAAAAGTAACTATGACCAATCCTCACATTTATGATCTTTGCAGGTCTGTAAAACAAAAGAAAGCTGAAGTAAGATCGTAAGCACAGTTGCAGTTTCACTTAGTGACTACTTTGCTTAATGACTGAGTTCCCAGTCCCAGTTGTGGTTGCTAAATGAGAGCTACCTGCAACCTTTGTGGCAATAAGCCACAAGTTAGTTTTTTTGTTTCTTTCAGGAACCACAGATTGAACGGCCAGTAATGGTAAGATGTCACCTGAGACAAATTTTATGGCCCTAATTTAAAGGGATGCAGCATTATGGCATTCATTTTTCTCCCTAAACCCACTCAATCTAGAAATAAACAACTCAATAGTGGTGGGAGGATGAAGTTTTTAGGGGTCAAATGGACACCTTCAATCCCTGCAAGCCTCAATACATTAATTACACACTTTAACTTCCCCCAACCCCAAAAAACCAGCAGAAAGGGTGTTGGTCCTACACTTGAAAAATACTGTGAGAGTTCTGAGAACTGCAAAAAGACGCAAAGTGACACAATACTATCTCATTCAACAGCTGAGACATAAGCAAAGGACATTTTAAATCCATTCCCTCTGCACTTGTGTATGCAGGAATTGGCAGCTGAAATACATAAAGAAAGGACTCTGCAGTTCTCCCTGCAGGAGAGTGATTTAAACTCTTTGCCTTAGTCTCAGGTTAAGGTCATGAGCTATGCTGGGATGTTACAGATTAGGTCCCAGACTTCCAATTGCCAACTCCACTTTACAAAATTGTACTGAAGGGGAATTAAGGCTCAATGTCCCACTATCCATCTCCTCAGAGCCCACCTCCTCAGAGAGAATCTCAACGCACACCTGAAAAAAAGACAAAGAAAAAGAATAAGAGTAAGAAGAGTATCTGTCCTGCCACCCAAAACTCCAGTGCAGATGAAACCAAGAAGAACAGTGATCCAGCTGCTGTACTTTCTGAGAGCTCCCCCATTCCTGAAATTGAACCACAACCTCTCAATACAGAGAATATTCATGAGGCCCTCTGTCATCCAACCCCAGAGGACCAGGACATTGCAAAAAAGTTAGAGGAGGAGGAAGAGAAGGAGGAAACAAAGAGTCCCAGTCACAAGAGTCATGCTGGTGAAAAAGGTAGCTCGGATATTAAGAGGTATGTGGAAGATTAACAGAGGTGGGGACCTATTCCTGGGTAAATTATACAATCTCCCTCCTCAGTGTCTTTCAGCCCTGCCCTACTCTATGGGACTCTGGGGCCATACATGGGATATCAGGAAGCATCCTTGCTCTAAGGTTTCCATGAAAAGGCTTTTGATAGAATTGCTGTAATTTGTATAGTGGATTGACTACTTCTATTAATCCATTCCAGCTCTAATAATTCTACAGTAATTGCTATCCATTCCCTTAAAGTAGAGGAATGCATACCTCTTGGGTTCTCAGTCTAGACCCGTAGGCTCTTGAGGCCATGTCCCCTTCCCAAGCCACTCACTTTCACCAGTCTTGGTCTGAGTTATTTATTACTATCAGACTCTGACCTCCAACTACAAAATCGCTAAAGGAAACCTTGGACAAGTAGGAGATAAAGGCATTTTGAAATAAAGGCATTTTTTCTAATGGCTTAATGTCAAAGATAAGGATCATATATTTAATTTATTAAGGATCATATGTTTAATTCTACCCACTTAGGGCACTGTCCATACCTACTACTTAAAAGTTTGCTTGACAGGTTTTAACCAAGTTCATATGAAATTCACCAAGAGTGATGTCTCTTATGGATTGTGTAACATTGACCCCAACTTTTTTTGATCAGAAAAGTAGAAATATGACATTTCATATGTGATAAAATTATACAGTATCTCAATAAAAATAAAAATGGAAGTTCTGTGGAGAGATCTCCCCCATAATATTTAGGCACACTTATTCATACGAAGTTCTGAGATTGCTCACCAAACTCCATTCATCGGCTGCTGGTGTTAGGTTGCTAAGTTCCATTTCTGCATGGCCCCTGACTCTAATAAATGTTCTTCTAAAGAGGTAAGTAAGGCTTTACTATGGCCTACAATACTGACAGTTCCACAGGGGATCATAATAATCCCAGAAACAACAGTTTACTGAAGGAGAATGCAATCTCAAAGGATCCAGGAGTTACCCTAACTTCAGACCATCATTTCAGAACACAAAAAGTAACATGTCAGGCTTTCTAACTTGGAATCAGCAATAAATCACAGATCTACTAATATTACATGGTTTAGTTTGACTCTTCAGATTGACTTGGCAGAAGAACCACAGACATGGCTTGATTAGATTAGAATCTTTATTGCAGACAAGAATGAAGCCGTTAAGATTGCTTACTGTCATTGAGAAGAAGAAAATGACTTCTATAGCCTTGTGATTTAGTCATGGCTTCTTCCTCCTGATTTTCTGAAGAAATGGATACTTAGCATGGCTTTTGGCGACCTTAAAGCTTAGCAATTGTGGCATAGTTACTTACTTGCCCACTTCTCATTGGGAAGCACTAATTCATGCCTTAATCCTCACACAAAGGGAGCACCAGCTGCTACCTCCTGAGACAACATCTCTGAAGGATTTTCATTCTGTATCCCTAAAATCTTAGCTCCTGTTGAAAAACTCCCTGGTTGCTTAAGATCATCCTATTCTGAACCTGCCCCTGAAGCTTAGATATTAATGGATAGTCCAGGTCTCCTTGTTATCCAGGTCTCCTGCTGTGTCTTCACTACTTGGGATTAGTCATCAGATATAATAGCAGTGGAGTGCAAAATATGATATCATCTGATGTCATTTGACTGATTATATGCCATCAAGTCAGTGTGAACTCTTAGCAATCTCAGAGATCGATTTTCTCCATGACAATCTGTCCTTGGTCCTTCAGATCTTCTATTGGTGCACTTATCACCACTGTAATTAAGTCCACCAACCTTGCTGTTGGTGATCTGCTTCTCTTTTTTTCTTCCACATTTCCCAGCATTAGAGCCTTCCCAAAGAGCTGGGTCTTCGCATAATGTCTCCAAAATAGGGTAATTCTAGCCTGGTCAATTTTGCTTCAAGAAAAAACTCTGGTTGATTTGTTTGATTATCCATTTGTTTGTTTTCTTGGCTGTCCATGATATTTTCAAGAATTTTCTCAACACCAAATTTCAAAAGCATCAATACTTTTTGCCCTGCTTCTTCAAAGTCCAACTTTCACTTCTATAGACTGTCACAGGGAATAAAATTGATTGCATGATTCTGATCTTTTTCATGCAGAAATGTTATGGTGTCTGAATATCATTTCCAAGGGCTTCATAGCTACTTAATGAAGTGCTAGTCTGTGTCATATTTTTTGGCTGCTTGTTTCTTGACCTTTGATGGTTGACACTAAAAGGCAGTAGCTATCCACCACTTTGATAGCTTCATTGTCAATTCTAAAGCTGGTTCTTGTTCTTGTTCTCATTAGTTTGGTCTTCTTTATATTGGTCCCATATTTTTATTGTGTTCCTTGATTTTTATTACTACAGCTTGCAAATCCTTTGCAATGTTGGCTATCAGAGTAGTATCATCAGCATGGCACAGGTTATTGATGTTTCTTCCTCCAATTTTAAAACCACACTCATCTCCTTCCAATCCAGCTTCCCTTAATGTATATAGGTTGAATAAACAAGGGGAGAGTATACAGTCTTGTCTCACTCCTTTGGCAACCTAGAACCAGTCTGCCTTGTCATGTTCTGTCTGTACTATGGCTTCCTGACCTGCATGCAAATTTTGCATGAGGACAATGACATGTCCAAGATTCCCATTTTTCTAAGCACATCCAGCACATCCTTTATACATATTAGATAATCTCTCTGGTAATATATACCAATGGCATAGCATTTTATAACATTTTTCTCTTAAATTATAAGATAATGTGAATTTCAGTCCTTTTAACCACATTCTTTCCCACTGATCCTTCTGTATGTTGTAACCAAAATTCTTAGCCCATTTTATCATGCACCCTTTAATCTGTTCGTCTTCCATTTCAAATCTCAACAATAATTTATACATTTTAGCAATTATGTGTTCATCATTTGTATATAATTCTCTTTCAAATTCTGTTACATGTTCTATACCTGATAGCTTTTTATCCACATTAAATCTCTCCCTTAGTTGTGCATATGAAAACTGTTGAAAAGTAAATCCTGCTGCAGTCAATTGTTCTCTTGATTTCATCTTAAGTTCTCAATTTCCCTGTATTAACAAATCTTGATATGTTAACCATTTTTCTTTGCCTGCTGTTTCTTTTCTATAAAACACTTCTTGTTCTGAGGCCGATGAAAGTATTTTCAGGCACAGCCTGGGTTTATATCTAATCTGTATTCATAATATGGCACTCCTAATATGATTTTTGTAATCTACATTAACTTTATCATACCATAAAAAAACCATGCCACCCAAACCTCAGGTTGTGCGCTTCTAATTCTAATGTTCTCTTATTTCTTAACAACAGCCATTCCTTCATCCAAACCAAACAGCAGGCAGCAAAATACAATTTAAAATCAGGCAATCCTAATCCTTTGCTTTCCTTTGCATCTTGAAGAATCTTAAATTTAACCCTTGGTTTCTTCTCCTGCCATATAAACCTGGATATGTCTTTTTTACCATTGTTTAAAAGGTGCATCATTTCTCAAAACAGGTATTGTCTGAAATAAAAACAACATTCTAGATAACACATTCATTTTTACCACAGAAATTCTTCCCAGCAATGATAATTGTGACTTTTCCCATCTTTATAAATTCTTCTTGGTTTCGCTCCACATCTTAACATAATTATTTTGAAATAACATAAATTCATATTAGTAATAGTAATACCCAGTTTGAAACCCAATTTTTACAAACAATTCTGTTTGATCTTTTATCCTCATATTCTTTGTCAACATCTTTGTTTTCTCTTTATTAATTTTAAATCCATCCAATGCACCAAATTCCCTTAGTTTTTCCATTAATGTATCTATTCCTTCTAAGGGGTTTTCCAGAATTAAACCAAGTCATTGGCAAATGCCCTTAATTTATATACTTCTTTTTTAACTTTCACTCCAGCAATTCTCTCATCTTGTCTTATATCTCTGTTCAAAACTTCAAGAGCCAGAATGAATAACAGTGGTGAAAGTGGGCGTCCTTGCTGTGTCCTTTCTGTATTTCACAGGGTTCAATCAATTCCCTATTCACAATAATTTGTGCCACTTGTGAAGTATATATCAATTTCACTCATGTAATAGAGTTCTCCCCAAAGTCCATATCTTCAAAGATTTTAAACAGAAAAGTCCATTTTAATTATCAAAATCTTTCTCTGCATCCAAAAATATTAATGCAGCTTGTTTTCATTGTGTTGCTCCAAATACTCTAATATATTAAGAACATTTCTAATATTGTTTCTTAGTTGTCTCTTAGGTAAAAAGCCACATTGGTCTTTGTGGATAAAATTATGTAGAACATTTTTCATCCTTTCAGCTAAAATCATCATAAATATTTTATGATATTATTCAATAGTGATATTGGTCTAAAGATTTTCAGTAAGGACAAATCTTGCCTTTCTTTGGGAATCAATGCTATGTTTGCCCCTGTCCAGCTATCTTTCCATATCTTCCCATAATCTAAAATAGAGTTCATCATTTTCTGTAATGGTTGTAGAAGCTCATCTTCAAAATGTTTATAATAAGAGGCCAGTAGTCCATCTGGATCAGGGCCTTACCTATGTTCATCTTCTTTATGGCTTCACAAACTTCCCTTATTGTTATTGGTCCATTCAACCATCTTTAAGTATCTGTTATCTTTGGTAACTTTTGCTTCTTTAAATATTTGTTTGCCTTTATCAGTGAAATTTCTTCTCTTTTATATAACTTTGTATAATACTGATGAAATATTATTTGAATACTTGCATTATCAGTCACTGTAGTTTTCTCATTTTGTAACTTTAATATCATTTTCTTTTCACTCTCCTTTCTCAATCTGTATGCCAGCCATTTCCCTGGCTTATTTGCTAACTCAAAGTTCATTTTTATTTCCATCTCTCTTACCATTAGCATAAATAGTTGGTGTTGTAAAAGTTTGATTTGCTGTGAATTTTTTTTCCCCTGAAGATCTCCTTAATTCTTCCTCTTTCATCTTTATATCCATTAA